TGCGGTAAATCCAAACGGTTACGTGCGCTCCTTTGGGTTCTCCCTAGCCTGTTCCAGGCTGTCGGTAGCTGGGGACGAGAGAAAAAAACAGAAGAGGGCAATCGAGAGAAAAATCCTCCCGGGTTTTTTCTCTCGCTCGCCCTCTTTTCTTCCCAACTACCGAGAGCCTGGAACAGGCCAGGTTTTCCCGTACCTACCCTCTCACCTTTCACCGTGTTCCTACCTTCGCACCTCTTTTGTTCGTTCCGAATGATTTAGCATACGTTGCCTTCTCCTCTTTCCCAAGAGTTTCCGATGGATTCCTTTTTGCATTTCCAATGTTTTCCATTGCTATCCGTGACGTTTCCCATATGCCCTCATTTTCTGCGTTTGTTGATGTTCTGTAGCATAATAGTGACACGACCCACTGATTTGGTCTGTACTTGGGGTGGCCTCATTTTCTAGACCCAAGTTTACAATTCATTTCCTCATTTTGACAATCAGGTTAATACAGTCGAACCTTTCTACAACGGCCCACTTGGGGACATAAGAAAGTGGCCGTCGTAGAGAGGTGGCCATTATGGGAAGGTAGCCCCGTCTTTTTTCACGGGTGCAACATTGTTGTCTTTCATAAGAAATGCTTATTGTAACATAAATACGTAACAGTTATAGAGGTGGCCGTCAGTAGAGGTTCGACTGTCATTGATTGTTACAAAGCTCGACAAACAAGGACAGCCCAAACGTTTCCAGGGGGTGGGGTGGAGAGAGTTTTCGAGATTCTGTGATTGGACATTTTGGTTTTGACAAATTTAATGAATTTCTACAAGTGACAAAAATTTCACTTAGCTAAAAAACACTCTTATGCCGATTAGAAAAAAAACTCAAGATTTTCTAACTATTGGTATAGGCTTTATATTTTTTTCTCATACTTTTTCCACCTCTGGAAAACAAGTTTGTAGAGTTCCATACTTTCACGAATTCCAGACTGTACGCCCCCTGTTACTTAACACTCGAGGTATATTTTAACCAGAGATCAAGGTTAATGTAAACGGAAGACTTATGAGCAGGAAAGACCATTCCTTTGTTAATCAAAATAGTTGCAAAGAAGCTGTAAATTGACTAATTAAGGTCTGAGTATTCTCGAACTAATTTCGCCTCTCACTGCCAAGCTAATCAATAGATATGGTATTTACAGCTTCCTTAGAATTGCTGAACTTTACACCAGATACAGAAAATAATCATATTTACACTTCTGGCCGAAAAGTAACATAATAATGGTATCAAACCTTACAACTATAATTAATAACAATTAACTAACAATTGGTTTGACATAGATATTACTGTTACCAGGTAATGAGTTGTGCCAATACATACGCTCATTGATTCATTATCTAATAAATCGTTCTAATGTAAAACAACATATTGTGCAGTCTATTAGTCGCGTTAGCTATCAGTACAAGGGAATGTTTCGATTACAAGAACAAAGTCCCGATTGAGTCTTGCAAGCGGTGCTCACGTGATCAAAGTAGTGGCTGAAACACGTGCAGTTCACGTGCTTAATAAAAGTTTACGCCTTCAGAATAGGCGTGCAGTTCACTAGGCTACGCCGTCTTATGTACAAGCACTTTACGTGTACATTGCAAGGTTAGGTCTCCTTCACGTGCGATGCACGTGGTAAGGAAAATGTTGTAGTCCGTGCACGCGAGTTTCACGTGATTTATTTGTACATGGTCATGTCCAGGTTCTGGTACATACACAGATATCCATCTCCCAGGAGGCGACGGACTTTTTCAGGAATCTCGCCTCTCTCTTTGGCAGCCAGAATTTCCTTGGTATCTTTGGAGAGCCACTCCAGTGCCTCGGGGCATGGACTCACCTTAGGGATGTTGTAGCCATTTCTCTCTCCTGAATAATCACAAGTTAAACAAAAGAAAGCACTCTGATTGAGTTAATTACAACAAATCGTCTTATTATAAATATTTTTTGCAATGTACAAAATTCTGTCCAAATCGATGCTAACCTTAGGGCCTCTTCATATGAGACCGGTCAACCGGGCTGGCTTGGTTTTCGAGATCTCACCTCGCCACTCTTTCCTTTGTAAAAATTTCGATGTGTTCATATGAGTTGCCGGGCTGGCCCGGTTACCGAGATCTCGGTTTTTGCGACCGAGATCTCGGTAAACAGGATGAAAATTTTCCCATATGAACACTCCAGTCCGGATGACCGGAGCGAAGCCTTTTTGACAAAATAGCTTCGCTTTCGTAACATAGCGGCCAAAATGGCATAATTTTTGTCTTGTATATATTTCCACTTCAGAAGTATCCGAATTACCTTTATCAGTAGAGTTACAAGAGTCCACAAAGCCACAATAGTCGCGAACGATATAAGTTTGTGTTCCACTATTTTGGTTGTGTTTCTTTAATTTCATCCCTGTCGACCGGGCTGAATTTTCTCATATGAACAGACAACATTCGTCCCGGCAACCGAGCCAGCCCGGTTACCGGGCTCATATGAAGAGGCCCTAAGAAAAGGAAAATTTACGTATGTTGAAAAAAGAGGCAACAATGCCAAAGCGGGTAGATTTCCAAGTGAATAAGTGATCTACTTTCCTCATCTTATGTACGCTATGCAGCTGAATTTTCATCACTGAATCAACATTTTATTAAAATGGGCGGCCAAACATGCCCAAATGGCGTTTCTTGACCACTCTAAAGATTCCCGCAAATGGCGTTACTTAGCCAATATAAAGCCATGCCCCCAAATGACAATCGTGACAAATCTACTCCAAAAAATGCCACCAAATGGCGTGACTTGTTCACCCTCAAGAACGCCCCTAAATGGCGTGACACATCTAATCTAAAACAGCGCGCCAAATGACGTGGCGTATTGACTCTAAAGAATACGTCCAAATGACGTGACATATTTACTTTAAAACATACCGCCAAATGGCGTGTCGTATTCACTCTGAAAAAATCTCCCAAATAACGTGACCTAAGCACCCTAACAAATATAGACATTCACCTTTCCTGTCCGCCATGCTGTCAAAGAAACACCAAGGCGTGCCTGCTTCGACGCCGCACTTGACAAACGCCACATAATGACTGGTCTCAATACAAACAACAGCAAAAAGCTCCATTTTCTGTTTGTCGAGTGTTCTCTTCTCGCTGCTGTATTGGCTGTATTCCCGCGGCAGTAGCACGGGACGAGGCTTGTGATGTTGGCGAATTTCGTGCGAGTGTATCCTCCCGCTACAGCCTTTACAGTAACTTGTTATTCCAAGAGCGTCACTCATTACTCCTTCTTTATAGCACTCCTTACACTCGTAAAGTGCAACATGGCTGCCGCAAACGGTACATTCCCGAGGAACTGAGAGAGGAAACAGAGAACGACGTCTGTTAGAGTTAGAGTTTAGTTACCAGCTGCGTGGCACTTCAGACTTTTATTTTAGAAGTCCACGTTGAAAATGAACTTAGCTAGCCTCTACCATCAACATTGGTCTTAACATGTTCTGAATTTATGAAAATTATCTGAATATTTCACGATCGTCTTACGAACGTTTCCGATTTTTTAGGAACAGTTTCCGAAGTTTGCCGAAGACTTTCGAGGAAGACAATCGCTCATTTAGCATGAAAATATTAACACATTTTGTGAATCGTCGAAGGGAAGTCCTCAAACATTTTCATGGAGAAGCCGTTGCAAGTTGGTTTTGTTCCCTGTTCTTATCTTCGTTAGGTCAAGTTATCTTCATCGTCTGTCGTTGCTAGTTTCTAAGTGGTCGAGACAGCAGCAAGCAAATCGTGATTTTTAAGAAGATTAAGACATTTTTTAATTTGTAAGACATGTTTCGATGTTACTAACATCATCGTCAGTTACAGAATATCTGTTACAAAGCACGGAACGTTGTCGTCAATCTTGCTCTGCGGATTGTTTCGAAATCCTTGATTCCGCCCCTACTGAATTTCAACTTAAACTTAAGGAGGCTATGCATATAAATTGGGAAAAGCCAAATTTAATTCAACAAGTTCATCACGTCAACCTGATACTTACGCTTTAGGCTTTATATTCTTTCAAACACTTTGTAACTCACTCAATTATGTAATAGATTTTTGTCACTTAATCACAATTAATTATGCATGTTTCGCCTAGTTGTTTTATAGTCCTAACGGTTTTTCAAATATTCTGTAACTGACGATGATGTTAGTAACATCGAAACATGTCTTATAAATTAAAAAATGTCGTGATCTTCTTAAAAATAGCCTCTAGGTATTTATTTATGTTTCAGTAACAGAAACCTCTGTTGGTAGTGCATTATTTAAGAGGAAATAATCAGTCAATTCGTTGGAGTAGCTAAAACAGTTACTTTTAGTTCTTAATGCAATATTTGTTAACTTGACACGCACCATTTTCAACAATTTGTGTTATATCCAGCTCCAGGTTTGGAAGAATCATGTCGTACATCTTGTATCTGCTACCGAATCGTGGCATCTGAAGAATCAAGCACGAAGGAATCTGCAAAAAGTACGGCAAGGAACAGGATCAAAATCTAAGTTCTCTTTACAATATCGATACATTCACTGCTAGGCAGGTGATGAGAATTAAAACCACCGTCAAACGAAAGGAATTTTCTCGACGTACCACACTAAATTGTCAGAAATTACACAAGAAAAAGTGAAAGGCATTTCAGTCATAAAAAATGATTCTGAAACGAAATGGCTGCCAGAAAAGGAAAGAGCTGATAAAATTAGTATGACTACAAATATTAGACCATTGTTTTGAAGTTTTAAGACGATTTGCATGGCAAGAAGGCAAGCTTTCCCACCGAGCATCCTTTAATTTTTTCACATGACTACTTTCAAACGCAGTCCTTTCCACGACGAGGTCACGTGATACTGAACAAGGGTCTGTGGCGAAGAAACAAGGTATTGTTGCTCTAAGCACCGTGTGGGAACGTCTTCAGCCATCCTTGAGAGATCAGAAAAATCTTGCCACGATGCTCAACAAACGTTAAGTAAAAACAAACCACATCTAGGGTGCAGTGAAGATTGAACTACAAGTTCTTGACCAATTTTAGCATTTAAATTTTCTCACCTCGGAAAGTATGAGATCGGCTGAGATGAAAGACTGTACTAGCAGTTGTTGAACTTGAGCGATTTTCACAGACTCGTCCTTCTCTGTTATGATCTGATAGAAGAACGCTCCTTCTCTGTCCTTGACTTGTACATCTCGAGGTCTATGATTACAATGATAATGAATATATGGAGCAGTTTTCACTTGAGTGTCAACGACAATTCACCTTTGCTTTGTTCTACAAAGACCCCATCTTGAATATGAGAGCATTAAAAGGGATCCACATTCACAAATGCAAATCTAGCTCAGAAATCGAAAACATTCTCCCTCTATCGAGTATGTACTAGCATTCTATCACAACTGCCTAGTAGTGTGGGTTATTGACAGAAATGGAGGCCACTTCTCTGCGCTTTCCAGATGTCTGTAAAGAGGATATACATGTAGATGATTTTATAGTCGAGAGTAGACTTTATGTATTTTACATGTAACTGTTATCATGATTTATATCGTCAGGTTTCCCTAACAAATCGCTGATACTAATTTTTGCACCTGGGTGGAGAAACACACTGAAAGAATAAATTGTCTTCCTTGAGCACACTGACGATACTTAAACCCTGGACCTCGAACAGTACACTTAAAACACATTAATAACTACTTAATAACCAAGAGTCAGGTCTTTACAGGAAAATCTCAAACCGAGACCTTGCCGTATTGACTGAGCGATAGCGAAGTCAATACAGAAAGACCGAGGTTTGAGATTTTCCTGCAAAGACCGAACGTTCGAGGTTAATAATTTGTTTATTATACGGCTTTTTGCTTTACTTTTGTAGGTCCGTAATAGGCCCGTGGGCATTACGGGAGAATAATGTCCTAGAATTAGCCAATCAGAGCGCGTGTTACATCGGCTGCAAACACAAGCCATATAACAAGACAGAGTAGAGCACAAGATATCATTACGAATCAAATTCACAGACTAAGATAGATTGTAAAATCTTACTTTAAGTGAAGGAATGGATCAGCCTTCAAGACTTGCTGTAGAAGAGAGTTAAGAAACTCCTCTGGGTCTGATCAGGGTAAAGGAAACAAAAAACTCATTAAAATGTGAACTTCAGATTCTAACTTCAGCGAACAGAATCTGATTGGAGCTTAGAATATCTCAAAGGCTATCAGTTGCTTACACGCTGCGGAGATTATTTCACTAATTTCATGTTTCAAGCACAGTTCACTTCTCTTTCATACCTTCACAGCATCAAAAACAGAAAGGTTTGTCTGTGTACCCAACTCTACGCAGCTAGAGGCAACCAAAAGTCCACTCAAAAATGTCTCACTACATCCCTGTTACACCCAAGTTATACATACAGTACACGTGAGTATAAGTAATCGTATGAATGCGAGTGCAATTAAGGACTTACACTGATAGTGACATATGAACATTTTCTCAAAATAGCACGAGCTTTAAGTTGCGTGCAATTTGAAAGAACTTGAAATATCACGAGTAGTGTAAATCCTGAATTGCCCAAGCAAACACTGCAGTGTAAGTTATAAAAATTAGCGAAAAATTTGCCTGCTCTCAGCCAATCACAGTGAAGTAATCTTCTTGGCAATATAATAATGCAAGAAAACCACATGATCAGTCGTGTTGTGGCAATTCGTCGTGGTATGTCTCTCAAATCTCTCAAGTTGGGAAGAATAATTAATTAATATGTTGTATAGTATAGTATAACTGATATTTATTTTTTCTATGGTAAAGCACCTTTTTCCTCATTCACTAATCCTGCAGTTGAGCTGAGTTCGTCTAACAGCTTTCTCAACTGGAGGACACGGTCTGCACGTACGAAGCCACCCCTACAACAAAACGGGTAGTACGAAAATTACTTCAACATTATTTGAGCAAGACACTATAAAAATTCCGGCAATTTCAAGTAGTGAAAGTTCTTTCAAAACTAAAATGGAAAGACAAGTCAAAGAGACGCCTTCAACACGACATTGCGCTAAGCTTTTAGTCACTGCTGTTGGGATTGGAAAATCTCACTGTCAAGTAGAACTTGTTGTTTGTTGTGTAGTTGTGTGTATGCATCGTCATTAAAAATTTAATTAATAAACCTTCACTTCTCCCACCCTCTCTCCCTGCCTTCTATCAATCCCTGACTCTTTCTGTCCACAATTATTCATAATTCAATCTTTATTAACTTACTCTCTCAAAGGATTTACAATGCTCTCCCTCAATACTGTCTGTACTTTGTCATATTCTTCCAGATCGCCATCTTTTCTCTGACGATGCAGCAGAGTATCAAATACACTTGAGAATGC